ACGATGGCGGAGCCCGAGAGGCGCTGACCCACCGGTGAGGACTAGGACTCAGGGCCCCGCCCCTGGCTCCTCTCGCCCCGCCCCGAGTCCCGCGCGATTCCAGCTCTGACCTGGGGCGCTCCGCCAACTGTTGGCCTTCGGGCGCGCACGCGCACTCCCTGGATTGGTTTGACAGCCTTAGTGTAGGATGTGAAGGGCCGGAGGTGTCGCGGTAGTTAGGTTCTCACCTCCTAGCGAGCGCGGTAACTATGGCGGGCCTGGGGGTCCAGGCTGAGCAGGAGCCGCTCTTAGGCGACCGCACACCCGGAAGCAGGTGAGCGGATGTGGGGGAAGGCACCCTAAGCTTCCTGCGCTAATGGGACTGGCCTCTTCATGGGTGCCAGCCATACCGGGCGGAAGGGGGAGGGGTGGCCAGGGCGGCGGGCGACGCGTGACCGGAAGTTGATCTCCCACCGCAGAGGAGGGGGTGTCCGAGCCCGCAGGTCCAGGTGAAGGTGTCACAGAAAGTCAAACGGCCTCAGCACGTTCACTCGGCAGGTGCAGCCTCCAAGTCATTCGGCACTTGGCCTTCTACAGAGCTGAGCCCTTCATACATTTCACAAAAATTCTGAGATGATGGTTTTAATTGTAACTTGAACACACAGCTCTTAGTATTGACCTAATTGCTGGATTCTTTTTTAAAATATATATTTTACTGATTTTTTACAGAGAGGAAGGGAGAGGGATAGAGAGCTAGAAACATCCATCAGCTGCCTCCTGCACACCTCCCACTGGGGATGTGCCCGCAACCAACGTACATGGCCTTGATCGGAATCGAACCCGGGACCCTTCAAGTCCGCAGGCCGTTGCTCCATCCACTGAGCAACCGGTCAGGGCTAATTCCTGGATTCTTTGTTAGCAAGTGAGCCTGTCTGAAATGGGTCCCCCGTTGTTCTGTGCCAAATATACAAAGACTATTTTTTTTATTTAGGAGTGAAGTGTACTTTGACCCTTAATTGTAAGGTTATTTTGCTTCTTATAATTAAGGGTCAAAGTACACTACTTTGTGGAGAGTAATTTAGAATTGTTAAATTATCTCTTACTGTGTAATTAAGTATGTATTTTTGCCTTTAGGAAAACGGAGTTAAGTATCATTTTATTTGAAATAATAATTAAAATCAAGTAAATTAATGCACTATTAAATTAAAGCTCTGTACATTAATTTTTGCTCATTTGTGTTTCTTAAGCACCAAACCTTATTTTACCACTCGGAAACTCTTTGGAAAATGTATTTCTCTGGTCTCTGATTTACTCCACAATATATGTAATGTAATTTTATCTTGAGATCACAGTTCAGATGAATGCTGAAATGTTGTAATAGAGTGATGTTCTTGGCCTATTGAGACATTTTAGACTATTTGCTTCTATTCTGTTTTATTACACACTGCTATACTTTTAAAGTTTCATGTCTTTTTTAGTGTTTTGCCTAATCTGTTCTTGGCAGACTATCCCTCATCATGTTTTTGTTATCTGTTGGCAAACCTGTTTTTGTTGCTGTCAGCAACTTCTCTTCTCCCAACTTTATTTTGGGACTTCTACTTTGGTACTGTTTTGAAAACCATATATAAGCTCAATAGAATTGTGCGTAATTAGAACATAGAAGTTTGACTAAGGCCTAAAGATTTCTTATTTATGCAATGGTATGTGTGGTGTTAAGCACTTCATACCTATGTAAATGCTGTATCAGGAACTGATTTAACATACCTGGCACAGTAGATCTATTATCTCTCTTCTTCCCTCCCTTTCTACCACTCCCAGTCACATCACAATTGAAAAATAAAGTTTCTTTTTTCAAGACTAATGTGAGTCTGAAATCTATTTTAGAAAATAATCTTGGAACATCAGAAATTATTTTGTCTGTTTTGCTTGTCTTAATTATTTGAAAGCATAATTCTCATATTAAAGTAAATTTAACTCTTTCTTTATGCATATGTGAAAATGTAATGGGTATATACACTCATGTATATCACCTGACAGAGGTAGGATGTCTGATTAATATACTTGGCCTTTAGTCCAGATCACAAGCCTGTATGAACAACCAACCCACTCTCTCTAGTCCACGTGTTAGAGCAAAGGCAAGTGTTCCAGGAGGCCTTAGGCCAGGAATGTGTTAGGTCACATCAAACTTTCCTGGTGTCACTTCTGCATTAATTTGACCCAGCCAGAATAGCTTCCTGCAGCGAAGTTAATTTGCTGTCATCAAGTAGAGCATATCATAATGATGACAGCAATTAAAATATTTAATAGTTGTATATCCCACCTGTGGGAGATCTAATTATTGGAGCTAGTTTATTTATTTTGATAAACTTTATTCATTTTGTCAGTTTTACAAGTTTCAGCACTTTGGAATAATAAAATTGTATAATGATGCATAAATACAACCCATGGAAATCCAAAGAAATAATGCTTATTCATAGATGAATTAGTACAGGAAAACCAGTATTAGTAAATTATACCTCTCTTATCATTTCTATGATTTTAGACCATAGAAAATAAAGGTGTGCCACAGAAAGATTTGCATATAATGAGATAACTTAGTACTACTACTTTCTTTTTTACACCTAGAGAATGGGATATTATAGAAACTGAGGAGCATTATAAGAGCCGATGGAGATCTATTAGGATTCTGTATCTTACTATGTTTCTCAGCAGTGTAGGTAAGTACTAGAAATTACATAATTTTAGAAATTCGTATAATATATTTTAATATTTAATTTTTTAAAAAATATTTTTATTGTGGTAAAACTGCATAACTTCAAATTTATCATCTTGATCAGGGTGTTAAGTATATCTACATGGCTGTATAACCAATATTTAGTTTTTCACCTTGCAAAACTGAAACTCTTTACCCAATTAACAACTCCTCATTACCACATCCTCCCAACCTCTAGGGACCACCATTCTACTTTCAGTTTCTATGAATGTGACTATTCTAGAGTGTAGCAAAATATGGTTAAAGGGTTCAGGGTTTCTTTTTTTTAAGTCATTAAAATGTTCTAAAATTGACTTTGGTGATAATATTTGTGATAATACCAAAAACCACCGAATTGTATTTTTTAAATGTGTAAATTGTATGATATGTGAATTATATCTTAATAAAACTTCATTTAAGAAAACTTGATAGAATTTTGATTGCATGTGCCTAACATTTAAAATTGACAAATAGCAATGGAGTTTATCATTACAGTTCTCAATCAATAAAGCCTAACAGAAGTAATGACTTTTAAGTGTCCTGTTTTGTGTTTTTTTAAAAGATTTTTAAATTAATTTTTAAAGAGAGAGGAAGGGAGCCCTAGCCAGTTTGGCTCAGTGCATAGAGTGTTGGCTTGCAGAGTGAAGGGTCCCAGGTTCGCTTCCTGTCAAGGGCACATACCTCTGTTGCAGGGGGGCTCATGTGGGAGGCAACCAATCAATGTTTCTCTCATATGTGTGTTTCCCTCTCTGTCGCTCCCCCTCCCTTCCACTCTTTCTAAAAACCAATGGAAAAATATTCTCAGGTGAGGATTAACAAAAAAAGAGAGAGAAGTGAGAGAGAGAGCGAGAGAGAGAGAGAGCGAGAGAGAGAGAGAGCGAGAGAGAGAGAGAGCGAGAGAGAGAGAGAGCGAGAGAGAGAGAGAGGAAGGGAAAAGAGAAAGAGAGAAACACTGATGGACTGCCTCATGCATACCCACTATGGGAGATTGAGCCTGAAACCTCCCTGATCTGGAATCCAAACCAGCAACCTTTTGGTGTATGAGGACAATTCCCAACCAACTGAGTCACACCAGCCAGGGCAGTGTCCTGGTTCTTTATAACTACTGCCTTCTTTCATTTATTCCTAGACATCCCTATAGTTAATTATCTCTCCCAAACAACACAGATTAGGAGTCTAGCTCTTACTCTATAACAAAGTGGCCTTTCCTCCATTTCTGCTATAAACACTTTAACAAAGCTTTTAGTAATTATCATTTATAGTAAAGGCTTGTAAGGGAAAATAGGTAATTGACTTTTATTATATTAATTATGATCAAAGACTATACTTATGTATTCTTTCAAGCCTAAAACCACATTGTTTGATAAAGTAGACATTTTAGGGCATAAATTTGTAAATTCAGAATTTTAAAATCCATGCTAGAATTTAAAAAATTGTATTTATAATGATGGAATTATTGTAAATAGAAATAACAGAGTTTACCTCTTTACAGGATTTTCTATTGTGATAATGTCAATATGGCCCTATCTCCAAAAGGTTTGTACACTTTATTCTTCTTTTAAGTAGCTTTAGTAGTATTAACTTTTTATGTAGTTAAGAGTTTTCTAGAGTCTCTTTGATATTCTATGATTTAATCTTTTTTCCCAATCTTTTTTTTAAGTATATTTTTATTGATTTCAGAAAGGGAGAGGGAGAGAGAGAGAGAAACATCAATGATGAGAGAGAATCGTTGATTGGCTGGCCCCCTACTAGGGATTGAGCCAGCAATTTGGGCATGTGCCCTTGACCAGAATCAAACCTGGTACCCTTCAGTCTGCAGGCTGACACTATACCCACTGAGCCAAACCGGCTAATGCTATGATTTAATCTTTACTAGAAAAACTCAAGATAATAATTCTTCAATAGAAGATTATAAGTCATGTGAGCATATGCTTCATTGTGCAAACCAGAATAAAGTGAAAGGAGTGCTATGCCAGGAAAATAGGATTATACCTGATCACTCCTAGGCAAATGCACAGGTTTGGTCACCTACTTATTAGCCACTTTTGCATCCTATCAAAATCACCTCTCTAATAAAAACAAAACAAAAGTAAACTAGATTTAGTGCCACATTTGCATTGCTATTTTGAAAATTAATTTTAAAGTTATATTACATAAAATTATTGCCCATGAGCCCTGGCAGGGTGGCTCAGTTGGTTAGAGCGTCATCCCAATACGCCAAGGTTGTGGGTTCGATCCCTGGTCAGGGCATATACAAGAATCAACCAGTGACGTGACCAGTATGGCTCAATGGTTGAGTGTCGACCCATGAACCAGAAGGTCTTCGATGGATTCCTGGTCAGGGCATATCCCAGGTTTCAGGCTCAATCCCTAGTAGGGGGTGTTTAGGAGGCAGCTAATGAATGATTCTCTCTCATCATTGATTTTTCTCTCTCTCCTTCTCCCTTCCTTTCTCTGAAATCAATAAAAACATATTTTTTTACAGAATCAATCAATGAATCTTCAGTCCGCAAGCCGACGCTCTATCCACCGAGCCAAACAACCAACATTTTTTAAAAATATATTTTTGATTTCAGAGAGGAAGGGAGAGGGATAGAGAGAGAAACATCGATGAGAATAATTGATCGGCTGCCTCCTGCACACCCACTGCTGGGGATTGAGCCTGCAACCCAGGCATGTGCCCTGACCGGGGATTCAAACCATGACCTCCTGGCTCATAGGTCCACACTCTACCACTGATCCAAGCTAGCCAGGCTGATCCAACTATTTTTATAATCGTTCCAAAATATGAAGCTTCTCAAGCATTTCCTTGTGTATAGTGAATTCAGTGCATTTCATTATAATAGAAATCTGAATCATGTACTGTAAATAATGGTATTATAAAACTTATGTTAATTAGAATTGTCTTTATTTTTTTACATAAGAAATATTAGCCCTAGCTGGTTTGGCTCAGATAGAGCATTGGCCTGTGGACTGAAGGATACGGGGTTTGATTCCGGTCAGGGGCACATGCCCAGATTGCGGGCTCAATCCCCAGTAGGGAGCGTGCAGGAGGCAGCCAATCATTGATTTTCTTTCATCATTGATGTTTCTATCCCTCTCCTTTTCTCTCTGAAATCAGTAAAAATATATTAAAAATATATATTTCATCTCAGAAAAAATTATTTATGTTTTAAATTTGACTTTTCTTGGATAATAATTCTTAAAGCATTGTACCTTTTTTCTGCAGATTGACAGGACAGCTGATACAAGTTTTTTGGGCTGGGTTATTGCTTCATTTAGTCTTGGCCAAATGGTAGCTTCACCTATATTTGGTTTGTGGTCTAATTATAGACCAAGAAAAGAACCTCTCATTGTCTCCATCTTCATTTCGGTGGCAGCCAACTGCCTCTATGCATATGTGCACGTCCCAGCTTCTCATAATAAATACTACATGTTGGTTGCTCGTGGATTGGTGGGATTCGGAGCAGGTAATATGCATGTATATATATGTATGTTCTGTTGTGTCAGATTCACAAATTTATGGCCCAATCTCACTTGGTGTCACCCTTTCTTAATCTCATATCCAGTGTTCAACATATAGATGTGTGATTGCAAACATAGATATCTTCCTATCATTTAGCTTCTGCTCATTATGTTCCCATTATTCATCATTTCTGTCTTCTGTTCCCATCATTCTTCATCCTTTAAGATTTAATTCAAGTTTCACATCTTCCATGAATTTTCTTAGGCTACCCTGTCCCTTTATTTTTTTCTTTTTTAAATGTATTTTTATTGATTTCAGAGAGGAAGGGAGCGAGAGATAGAAATATCAATGATGAGAGAGAATCATTGATCTGCTGTCTCCTGCATGCTCTCTACTGGGGATCGAGCCAGCAATCCAGGCATGTGCTCTTGACCAGAATCAAACCCGGGACCCTTCAGTCCACAGGCTGATGCTCTACCCATTGAGCAAACCAGCTAGGGTCCTGCTTTCTATAAACTGTTTTGCGTTATTTTTATCTTATATCACCAACCATACAGTAAACTTTTTTTGTAATTAGAGACAATTTGACTAAAAAACATATTTTGTGGCCTGGTCCCTAGCTAAGTCTCTTGTACACAGTAATTGCTCAATAAATTTTTGAACTAAATTGTTAGTGGATTTTTAAAAAAATATATTTTATTGATTTTTACAGAGAGGAAGGGAGAGGGATAGAGAGTTAGAAACATCGATGAGAGAGAAACATCGATCAGCTGCCTCCTGTACACTCCCCACTGGGGATGTGCCCGCAACCTAGGTACATGCCCTTGACCGGAATCGAACCTGGGATCTTTGAGTCTGCAGGCCGACGCTCTATCCACTGAGCCAAACCGGTTAGGGTGGATTTTTTTTTTCCTGTTTCTTTTATTATAAGTCTAAGCATGCAGTTTTTGACATCTTGCTTTTAAAAATAGTTATAGCAATGAGTAATATGCCATTTACTCAGTGCTTTCTCAGTATTTAATGATGAAAAAATAGTTTAACATTCTTATAATGCCAGTTTTTAAAATACATGTTTTTATTGATTACAGAGAGGAAGGGAGAGGGCGAGATAGAAACATCAATGATGAGAGAGAATCATTCATCGCCTGCCTCCTGTATGCCCCCTACTTGAGATTGAGCCCGCAACCTAGGCATGTGCCCTTGACCAGAATTGAACCTGGGACACTTCAGTCTGCAGACCGATGCTCTATCCACTGAACCAAATTGGCTAGGCTAATGTCATTTTTTATTCATTCAAATATTTAACTGTGTTTTCATATTACTAAAAATAATATTTTCTATTAATTGGTACATTTCCTCAATAAACATGCTTTGTATGATCATAAAGAGGAAACAGTGGCTATAAGGGATTAATATTTCCTCTGCATAAAGCCAACTTAAGTTGAAATTTTATAAGCTGAAGGATTTTTTTTTAATTGTGTCTTTTCTTAGGAAATGTGGCAGTTATTAGATCATATATTGCTGGTGCTACTTCCCTTCAGGAAAGAACAAGTTCCATGGCAAATACAAGTGCATGTCAAGCATTAGGTTTTATTCTAGGTCCAGGTAGGTGTTTTTCACTTGTAACTACTTAACTTGAATTAGGCAGAACTTCTAAGTTCAAATGTTAAATGAAATCCAAGTAGAAAACCTCATAGTTGAAGGGAAACTAATATTTTTGGATGCAGCAGTGAGGCTAGAGTCTAGAGCAGGGGTGGGCAAACTTTTTGACTCGAGGGCCACAATGGGTTCTTAAACTGGACCAGAGGGCCGAAACAAAAGCATGGATGGAGTGTTTGTGTGAACTAATATAAATTCAAAGTAAACATCATTACATAAAAGGGTACGGTCTTTTTTTTTTTAGTTTTATTCATTTCAAACAGGCCGTAGTTTGCCCACGGCTGGCTCTAGACTCTAGAGGATGGGGCAAAAGTAGGTTTACAGTTGTATGTGAAAGTTTATTCTTATATTATTTATTATTTATATTATTTTCCATATGTACTAACTCTGGGTCTTACTTTACCCTCAGTGTCTAGCATAATATCTGGTATACACATGTTCTCAGTAAATATTTTGATCACTTAAAGCATATTTTAAAGACTATCTCATTTAAACATTCTGTATAGATGAGTAAATGTAGGCCTGAAAAGTTCAGATAACTTTCCTAATAATAACTACATCAATAAGCACTAACATTTCCTGAGTATGTGCTAGATACTATTTTAAGTGCTGCAGTATCTTACTTAATCCTCACCACAAAACTACATGTACATTTTTGGAAGAGCCAGATACAGAATCTAAATCAGGAGAGCAAATCAGTATTCTCCCAATCTGATTTGTGCCATAAAATCAGATTTAAAATATTAAATATATGTAGCTTAAATATCACATACACAGTAATATTTTAAAATATTTAGTTGAAATGTGACAAGTTGATTAAACGTATAATTCATTTATGGAAGAAATTGTATAATTTATATTTCTTATGGAGATGTTTAAAAAAATGAAATTACTGAAGTAACTACTTGAGATCTAATCCTTTGTCAATTCATGCACATTAGTGTTTCTCAATCTTTTTTTCATTATTGACCCCCTAAGGAGTTTTTTTAGACAATTTTTCCTAAACACTCCATCCCATGAAATTTTAATACCACAGACATACTGTATATTGTTTATGTACTGTATCTGTGCTTTATATAGAAAGAGTGAATTTTTCTGTCCCCCTCACCCAGAACCAGTTTTTTTTCTGTCCAGATGCATGATGTAGATCAGTGGTTGGCAAACTGCAGCTCGCGAGCCATATGCTGCTCTTTGGCCCCTTGAGTGTGGCTCTTCCACAAAATACCACATGCGGGTATTCCACAAAATACGTACAGTGCGATTGAAACTTCGTGGCCCATGCGCAGAAGTCAGTATTTTGTGGAAGAGCCACACTTAGGTGGCCAAAGAGCCACATGTGGCTCGGGAGCCTCAGTTTGCCGACCACTGATGTAGATGAATGATCCCGTGTTACTTCTAATTTCGTGGTAAACGTCTTTCACATTTTTAAAAATCTGTGTCTCCATAAAATAATTCACTGTGTCGTTTTACTTTAATAAGTTTTTCAGACCTGTTTTGCACTCATTGGAGAAAAGGGCGTGACATGGGAGACTATACAGCTTCAGATAAACATGTATACAGCACCAGTTTTACTTGGCGCCTTCCTTGGAGTTTTAAATATTATTCTGATCCTTTTTATATTAAGGTAATTAGACAGAAATGATAAAACTACTTTTATAGACTGTGAAATTAAATAAGCACTATCATTGATGGAGGATAATTATTCCTAAGAAGCCTTAATTTGTTATTTCATGTCTATAATTGTGTTCATATTTTCTGATTAGCTAATGTACTTACTTGTAACTAAAATAATAGACAATTTGATAAATGAGAACAGATTATAAGGTCTTTGAAAAGTTAAGGTTTGGTCTTGATTTACTAATTCTGGTTTTCTAAGTAGGAAAATGGCATGAAAGCAACATTTTAAGTAGATTAGTCATTAGTATCAACCTTAAATACAAAAGTTACTTCAAATGTATCTTTTATCTTTTATATATTAGAAGAAATTTTATAAAGCTATAAAAATTTGGTTAGTTCATATTTCTTTGGAGTACTTTAACCAAGGGTCCAAAAACATTTACAACTAATGTTTAAAAATCACTGTTGAACTTCAAATACTGATTAAGGTAGATCACATATGCTTTTGGATGAATTTGGTTGTTCCTTTTTCCATTTTATATAGCATAATAAGAATCATGACTTGTATCTTTTAAAATTTGTTATATCTCATTGCTAATACTTTCGTAACTCAGAAGCCAATATAAAAAGTTATATCAGAATGTGAAAAAATAGGCGGCTAGTAATAAATTTAACCCACTTGTCTATTATACTAAGCCTTTCATGGATACAATATTTATGTTTTTCTTTTTAAGAGAACATCGTGTGGATGACTCAGGACGACAGTGTAAAAATATTAATTTTGAAGAAGGTACTATTAAGCTGTTTAACTAAATTACTATAAAATTAACAAAGTGTTTCTAATGATCCAGTGGTATTTACTTGGATTTTGCTTCTGAGGACGATAAAAGGGGTGACTTAGGAAAGATCTTCAAAGTTGAAAGTTACCTAAGTTGTTTAAAAAGAAAAGACATATGAATATCAGTTGTTTGGTGTTCATGATTGGTAAGGTTAAAACCATTGCTAAAAATCACTTAGTCTTGGTTTCAGAGAGCCAATCCTACAGTTTTGTGTGTTTAGAAAGGGAGGTCATGACCCTATGTTGAGTATACAAGGTGCTTTTTAAAAAATATATATATTTTATTGATTTTTTACATAGAGGAAGGGAGAGGGATAGAGAGTTAGAAACATCGATGAGAGTGAGAGAGAAAAACATTGATCATCTGCCTCCTGCACACTCCCTACTGGGTATGTGCCCACAACCAAGGTACATGCCCTTGACTGGAATCGAACCTGGGACCCTTGAGTCCTCAGGCTGATGCTCTATCCATTGAGCCAAACCGGTTAGGGCCCAAGGTGCTTTCTTAATTGTACCCAAGTATAGCAGACTATTTCCAAATCTCATTTGAAATTAGAGAAGGAACTCCTCAGAAATCCTGAGATAAAAAGGCAGGCACCATTATGGAAAAATTATAGAAACTTATAGAAAGTCACTGCCTGCCCCCTGCTGCTGCTACATATACACTTACACAGCATAAATGAACACATTCTTGTATTACTTACCTGGATTATTCTGAGTAAAATAGCATGACAGATGTATCTAAGATCTATATGGCTTCACACTTCTCAATTATATCAGAAATAGTTTGTACTTAGTGTATAGCTTAACTACACTGGTTCAAGATAAGGCAGTACACTCACTTTGCCCTCCTAAAGTATTACTTTGCAAAAATATAAATAACATTAGGATTTTTATGGTAATAACATGAGGATATTTACTAATACTAATTTCACATTTGATTGAAATTCAAAATAAAATATATATTCATTGAAGTGAATCACAGAAATGAGAACTGATTTTATAAACTATTTCAGGTCTTCATGAAATCCTCATAATTTAAGATTAAGGTAATATAGGAAAAAAACTCTGCAACTGAAATTTAAAGCACATGTATTTAGTATAAGATCATTTTAAAGAATTCTGTAAAATACATGCCTCTTCTGGACTGAGAGACACCAATAGACAGAGTATCTCCTGTAGATAACAGAATTTGAAGTGTATTTCCTGGGAAGAAAAGTTACTTTACTTTTAAATATCGTTTAAAAGTTATTGCTGTCATATATATTGTTAATTTTAAATTATTTTGAAGCCTAAAAATGATTTTAAATGTTTAGTCATAGAACCTGCTACATATATTTCTACATTGTTTGATGACAAAATAACACCTGTAAGTAATATAATTTTTCTCCTGTTCATCACAGCAAGTACAGATGACATTCATATTCCCCAGAGAAATATTGATCAAGTGGCTGTAGTGACTACCAATGTTCTGTTTTTCGTGGTCCTATTTATCTTTGCCCTTTTTGAAACGTAAGTTTTGTCTTCATCTACATCAGATTATGTTAACAATTTATATTTAATGTAATATTAATCAGGCATATAGTTGTTCTCAACTTTATGTAAGAAATTTTCCTTGTCATGATGTAAAAAGTGTTTGATATTTAATTTAAATGTAGTTAATTTTGTCTGTAATCTTACTCCCCACATCTCTCTCTCTCTCCCCACCTACTAAAATAATTTTTTTTTTTTGGTTAATCCTCACCTGAGGATATTTTTCCATTGATTTTTAGGGAGAGTGGAAGGGAGAGGGAGAGACACACAGAGAGAAACATTGATGTGAGAGAAACACATTGAATGATTGCCTCCTGCATGTGCTCTGACCGGGTCTGGAGTCTACAAAAATGTATGTACCCTTGACCGGAATTGAACCTGGGACCCTTCAGTCCGCAGGCCAATGCTCTATCCCCTGAGCATTACCAGGTAGACCCTAAAATCAGTTAAAAAAACAACATATCCTTGGGTGAGGATTTTAAAAAATTACCATTTTAACTATTTTTATAAATATGTTTTTATTATTTTCAGAGAGAGAGGAGGGGGAGAGAGAGAAAGAGAGAGAGAGAGAGAGAGAAACATCAATGATGGGAGAGAATCATTGATTGGCTGCCTCCTTCACACCCCCTAATGGGGATCGAGCCTGCGAGCCTGCAACCCGGGTATGTGCCCTGCCTAGGAATTGAACCATGACTTCCTGGTTCATGGGTCGATACTCAATCACTGAGCCACACCAGCTGTGCTTAACTATTTTTAATTGTACAGTTCAGTGACATTAAGTCCGTTCACAGTGTTGTGTGAATGTACTCTCCATTTCCCGAACCTTTTCATGATTCCAAACAGAATCTCTGCACCCATTAAACAATGTCTGCACTCCTTATCACCCGGCCCTTGGTAACCTTTATTCTACTTTCTCCTTAAATTTGTCTATTCTAGGTACTTCATATAAGTAGAATGATACATTTGTCTTTTAGTGTCTTATTTCATTTAGCATGATGTTTTCAAAGTTCATGTTTTAGCATGTGTCAGAATTTCATACCTTTTTATGGTTGAGTAATATTCCATTATATGTATACCAATTTTGTTTACTCATCTATCCATGGTCATTTGTATTATTTCCACTTTTTGGCTCTTGTGAATAATGCTGTGATGAACACTGGTGTACAAGTATCTATTTGAGTCCCTGCTTTCAATTCTTTTGGGTATATATCCAGAAGTGGAACCACTAGATCATATGGTAATTGTGTTTAACTCATTGAGAAACCATCAAACTATATTTCACATCAACTCATCTGATTTTAAAATTTTAAAAATGGTAATGTTTTATTTTTAATTTTGTTTTTTAGTTTTTTATATGTTCTTTAAAAAAAAGAATGAACTTTTAAAACAATTTCATTATTGATTTCAGAGAGAAAGGAAGAGGGAGAGATAGAAACATCAATGATGAGAGAGAATAATTGATTTGCTGCCTCCTGCATGCCCTCTACTGGGGATTGAGCTACAACTCTTGCATGTGCCCTTGACCAGACTCTAACCCGGGACCTTTCAGTCTGCAGGCCAGTACTCTATCCACTGAATCAAACTGGCCAGGGCAAAAGAATGAATATTTTAAATATATTTCACTTCCATTTTGTAGCTAGTTAACAAAAAGAGATAGAAAATAGGAAAAGCCCTGACTGGTTTGGCTCAGTGGATAGAGCATCGGCCTGCTGACTGAAGGGTCCCAGGTTCGATTCCAGTCAAGGGCATGTGCCTTGGTTGCGGGCACGTCCCCAGTGAGGGGTGTGCAGGAGGCAGCTGATGGATGTTTCTCTCTCATCAATGTTTCTGACTTTCTATCCTTCTCCCTTCCTCTCTGTAAAAAAATCAATATATTTAAAAAAAAAGAAAATAGGAAAAGAAGATTGGCAAGGAAAGAGATGGTCATATAAGGAAAGAGACATTCAGAGAGGTAAGGTGAAAAATACATACATTCAATGATAGGGATGAAAGAGACTGAGGAAGAGAAAAGAAATTCCAGAAGATTCTAATAATCTAATAATGGTAACATTATTTAACCCAAAATATAACCATGATTATTTAGTTATATTAGAGTGGTAGGAGTTTTGGTTTCTTTTTTTTATTTTCCTGTTTTTCATACTTTCAACAATGTGGATATATTAATTTATAATAAAATGTTAAAAAATAAGAACACAAACACTCAAACTTAGTAGTTTGTGCATGTAACATCGAAACGTGCTGAAAATGCACTGGCTGGGTAGTTCAGTTGGTTAGAGCATTGTCCAGATACTGCAAAGTTGGATCTCCGGTCAGGGCACATACAAGAATCAACCAATGAATGCATAAATAAGTGGAACAACAAATTCATGCTCTCGTTTCCTCTTTCTCTCTCTCTCTCCAATCAATCAATCAATCATTAATTGTTAATTTCGAATTCAAATT